GAGACAGGGCGTCGCGATGCCCAGTGCCGCATGATGCGTACGATGGTTCGAATCGGCAGGTTTGACTTTGAAAAGAAAGTTCCCCATTTGACACTGCGCTCCACTGAACCGCACGATACGCGACGGCAGCGCCAGCGTTGGGACTTCTCGCACAAAGTCATGGCCTTCGCACACTTGCGACAGAGCATTGAGCTCTTTAATAAGCCCACCCGCAAGCACCACCGTAGGCAAGACAGGTCGTCTACAGTAGCCCGCATAATGACGTCGAAGGAGAAATCCTCAACATCGTCGAGGCTGTACGAAGCCTCCATGGCAGCTAGTTGGTGTGTGCACGGGGGTTGGAAAAGGGTAATGAGTGAATCAACGGGGGTTGTTTTTGTTTTGTGCCTTAGTTGTATTGGTTGGTTGGCGCAATTGGTGGTGATGCCCGCTCAAACCGGGGGCCTTTCTGCTAAGGTTTTAGGGTACACAGGACTATTTTTTTTCCGGATTGATATTAAGTAAGCGGACGAGATTTGACTTTTAACTCCACACATGCATTTAAATCATTAAAAATTGTTTGTGAGGGCAATAGTAAAGGAGTGCCGACTGAGAAGCACAAGGCTGACCGCGTTAAGTTTGCTCAGTCATTCGTTCGCACGACATCAACTGGCCTAATGCAATGGGATGACATGTTGGACCGCGTGCACATCGATGAAAAGTGGTTTTATCTCACCATCGTGAACCCCCGGTACTACTTGTGGCATGACAAAGCCGGTCCAGCCCGCAAGTGCGCGTCGAAGCGACACATTATCAAGGTGATGTTTTTGACAGCCGTGGCAAGGTCACGTTACGACTATGCCCTCCGGAAGATGTGGGACGGCAAAATTGGAATGTGGCCTTTCGTGTTGGAACAGCAAAAATCGAGCACGCGGCACTCCTGTGACAACGCCAGTTACTGTGACCAAAGCTGTTTACCGGGACTATCTATTACGGTATGTGATCCCTACTATCAAGGAGGTGTGGCCTAGTCGACGCAGTCGGCCAATCTTTATCCAACAGGAAAATGCTCGACCCCATGTAGAAGTCGACGATGATGCCGTGACGTTGGCGGGTTGCTCCGACTGTTGGAAGTTTCTGCTTGTGGCGCAGCCGGCGATGAGCCCCGACTTCAACGTTTTGGACCTTGGTTTTTTCAACTTGATCCAGTCCTTGCAGCATCGTGAAGTCGTCACTGGCATTGACGATCTTGTGGCGGCGGTTCACCGGGCTTTTGGTGACCTGGATTGGCGCGTTCTTGACAAGACCTTTGTGACCCTTCAGAGGGTCATGGGCGAGTCATTGAAGATGGGAGGCGACAACTCGTTCAAGTTGCCGCACACCACAAGAACACGAATGCAAGAGTTGGTCCTATCGCTCCTCTCGTGTGTGATCCAGATGTAGTCAA